TCTAAAGTAACATCAGTCTATATAGACTGTTTACATGTATAGTAACAATCTGTCTAAAGTAACATCAGTCTATAGAGACTGTTTACATGTATAGTAACAATCTGTCTAAAGTAACATCTGTCTATAGAGAACACCTATTTACATGTATAGTAACAATCTGTCTAAAGTAACATCGGTCTATAGAGAACACCTGTTTACATATATAGTAACAATCTGTCTAAAGTAACATCAGTCTATATAGACTGTTTACATGTATAGTAACAATCTTTCTAAAGTAACATCAGTCTGTATAGACTGTCTGTTTACATGTATAGTAACAATCTGTCTAAAGTAACATCAGTCTGTATAGAGAACACCTATACACATGTATAGTAACAATCTGTCTAAAGTAACATCAGTCTGTATAGACTGTCTGTTTACATGTATAGTAACAATCTGTCTAAAGTAACATCAGTCTATATAGACTGTCTGTTTACATGTATAGTAACAATCTGTCTAAAGTAACATCAGTCTGTATAGACTGTCTGTTTACATGTATAGTAACAATCTGTCTAAAGTAACATCAGTCTATAGAGAACACCTATTTACATGAATAGTAACAATCTTTCTAAAGTAACATCAGTCTGTATAGACTGTCTGTTTACATGTATAGTAACAATCTGTCTAAAGTAACATCAGTCTGTATAGACTGTCTGTTTACATGTATAGTAACAATCTGTCTAAAGTAACATCAGTCTATAGAGAACACCTGTTTACATGTATAGTAACAATCTGTCTAAAGTAACATCAGTCTATAGAGAACACCTATATACATGTATAGTAACAATCTGTCTAAAGTAACATCAGTCTGTATAGACTGTCTGTTTACATGTATAGTAACAATCTGTCTAAAGTAACATCGGTCTATAGAGAACACCTGTTTACATATATAGTAACAATCTGTCTAAAGTAACATCAGTCTGTATAGACTGTCTGTTTACATGTATAGTAACAATCTGTCTAAAGTAACATCAGTCTGTATAGACTGTCTGTTTACATGTATAGTAACAATCTGTCTAAAGTAACATCAGTCTATATAGACTGTTTACATGTATAGTAACAATCTGTCTAAAGTAACATCAGTCTATAGAGACTGTCTGTTTACATGTATAGTAACAATCTGTCTAAAGTAACATCAGTCTATAGAGACTGTCTGTTTACATGTATAGTAACAATCTGTCTAAAGTAACATCAGTCTATAGAGACTGTCGTTTACATGTATAGTAACAATCTGTCTAAAGTAACATCAGTCTATAGAGACTGTTTACATGTATAGTAACAATCTGTCTAAAGTAACATCAGGCTATAGAGACTGTCTGTTTACATGTATAGTAACAATCTGTCTAAAGTAACATCAGTCTGTATAGACTGTCTGTTTACATGTATAGTAACAATCTGTCTAAAGTAACATCAGTCTATATAGACTGTCTGTTTACATGTATAGTAACAATCTGTCTAAAGTAACATCAGTCTTTAGAGAACCCCTCTTTACATGTATAGTAACAATCTGTCTAAAGTAACATCAGTCTATAGAGACTGTCTGTTTACATGTATAGTAACAATCTGTCTAAAGTAACATCAGTCTGTATAGACTGTCTGTTTACATGTATAGTAACAATCTGTCTAAAGTAACATCAGTCTATAGAGACTGTTTACATGTATAGTAACAATCTGTCTAAAGTAACATCTGTCTATATAGACTGTTTACATGTATAGTAACAATCTGTCTAAAGTAACATCAGTCTGTATAGACTGTCTGTTTACATGTATAGTAACAATCTGTCTAAAGTAACATCAGTCTATAGAGACTGTTTACATGTATAGTAACAATCTGTCTAAAGTAACATCAGTCTATATAGACTGTTTACATGTATAGTAACAATCTGTCTAAAGTAACATCAGTCTATATAGACTGTCTGTTTACATGTATAGTAACAATCTGTCTAAAGTAACATCAGTCTATAGAGACTGTTTACATGTATAGTAACAATCTGTCTAAAGTAACATCTGTCTATATAGACTGTCTGTTTACATGTATAGTAACAATCTGTCTAAAGTAACATCAGTCTATATAGACTGTTTACATGTATAGTAACAATCTGTCTAAAGTAACATCAGTCTATATAGACTGTCTGTTTACATGTATAGTAACAATCTGTCTAAAGTAACATCAGTCTATATAGAACATCTGTTTACATGAATAGTAACAATCTGTCTAAAGTAACATCAGTCTATATAGACTGTCTGTTTACATGTATAGTAACAATCTGTCTAAAGTAACATCAGTCTATATAGACTGTCTGTTTACATGTATAGTAACAATCTGTCTAAAGTAACATCAGTCTGTATAGACTGTCTGTTTACATGTATAGTAACAATCTGTCTAAAGTAACATCAGTCTGTATAGACTGTCTGTTTACATGTATAGTAACAATCTGTCTAAAGTAACATCAGTCTGTATAGACTGTTTACATGTATAGTAACAATCTGTCTAAAGTAACATCAGTCTGTATAGACTGTCTGTTTACATGTATAGTAACAATCTGTCTAAAGTAACATCAGTCTATATAGACTGTCTGTTTACATGTATAGTAACAATCTGTCTAAAGTAACATCAGTCTATAGAGACTGTCTGTTTACATGTATAGTAACATTCTGTCTAAAGTAACATCTGTCTATAGAGAACACCTGTTTACATGTATAGTAACAATCTGTCTAAAGTAACATCAGTCTATAGAGACTGTCTGTTTACATGTATAGTAACAATCTGTCTAAAGTAACATCAGTCTATAGAGAACACCTATTTACATGAATAGTAACAATCTGTCTAAAGTAACATCAGTCTATATAGACTGTCTGTTTACATGTATAGTAACAATCTGTCTAAAGTAACATCAGTCTATAGAGAACACCTATTTACAGGAATAGTAACAATCTGTCTAAAGTAACATCAGTCTATAGAGGCTGTCTGTTTACATGAATAGTAACAATCTGTCTAAAGTAACATCAGTCTATAGGGACTGTCTGTTTACATGTATAGTAACAATCTGTCTAAAGTAACATCAGTCTGTATAAACTGTTTACATGTATAGTAACAATCTGTCTAAAGTAACATCAGTCTATAGAGACTGTCTGTTTACATGTATAGTAACAATCTGTCTAAAGTAACATCAGTCTGTATAAACTGTTTACATGTATAGTAACAATCTATCTAAAGTAACATCAGTCTATAGACATATGTAGTCGTGCCAAATGAGCTGGTCATTGTAGAAGTACAAAGTGTTAAATACAGTCTCATTCATTTGCCACGCCCTGCCTTATTCTAGGTGGATCTGAAAGACACTAAGTGTTTTGTAAGTTGGTGAAAAGAGATACTATAATGTGTGAAATGAACTCTTGATCATTTTTGATAAGTACCACAGACATTCAGACAAGATTTAGTGGGAGAATATTGTTCCCACCTTGTCTATCTGTCTGTGTGTCTGTCCGTCCATCTGCCAGTCTGTCTCTCTTTTTGTCTCCGGAGTATAACTTTGCCTACAGATAAGCAAGAATTATGAATCTTGGTGTATACATTGGTCATACTAAAGGGATGTGCATTGTACCAAAATTCAAGGTCCTCAACCTTTCAGTTACAGAGTTACTGCCCTTTGTTAAAATTTTGTGTGAGGATCTAGCACAGCTTTGCTTGCGTTTAAACTAGGATAAGGAAACTTAGTGGATATGTTGATCATACTGAAACAATGTGCAGTGTCCTAAAGTTAGGGTCCTTGAATTCTCAATTACAGATATTGGCCTTTGTAAAACATTTCGTCTGAATCTTTGCCTACAGTTAAGCAAGAATCATGAAACTTATACATTGACCGTACAAAGACAATGTTCATGCAGTGTACTAAATTTAGGGTCCTTGACCCCTCAATTACAGAGTTATTGCCCTTTATTAAAATTTTGTGCCCATCAAAGTTGTTTGCAGAGAGCATTTAGCAGTTTCACTGATAAACTTGCCTACAATTTTTTACCATTTCGTCACACTATTTTCTACCTTAGTGTACATAAGATTATAGTACAGTTATAGTACAGCTGAAAAGTCAGTTGATTCTTTATAATCTCGTTCACGATGCATATCAGGTCTATAGTTCCAATTCTTCACACGGGGTCAATTGTCTCATGAAGGTGACCCTGAAGTCAATGAAATATCACTCTTAAATCTTCTTCCAGTTGTGTTATAAAAATTTCTATTATATTGAAATTAACAAGCTGAAGAGAAAATGTTACGAGATAATGTTATTCCAAATCCTACTTCTGTACACGTATGTTGTCCAAATTTGATTTGGTCTTTATGAATGTTAAAATTGATTTTTGCTTGACCACAAGCTATGACCAAGCAGGAAAATTACTATATTTCAGAAATCATTTTTCAGATTTGAAATTCTTTGTTAAATGACTGAATAACTGAATAAGTCAGGTGATAGTTGCAGGCCCCATTGACCTGTTGTAATTTGATTGAAGCTGAAGATATTCTGTTTTTCAAACCTCCCAACAATTACTATATATATATATGTTTGTGTAAGAAAAACTATGTGACGATGATAGAATACATATATATTTATAAAAGATATTTGAATTTTAATATTAATGACAGTAATAATGGATAAAACTTGCATGAATCCCATGTAATATATCGATACTCACATCCATGTAAAGATTTTCTATATCTCAACTAGCTAGGCTGTAATGATAGCTAGTGAATGTACTCTCCCTTCCAGTGCACACACACACACACACATATATATAGAGAAAGCATTAGTCCTTCTATTACTTATTGATTTATATGTGGAAAGCTTTTAAAATATTTAGCTCAGCAAATATATTACAGTCTTCCTGCTAAGGTTGTCGGTTTCAAGCTCCATGCTATTTCTGTAGTAATATGTCCTCAAATTTCCTCATTCCTAAATTTGTAGAAACCTCCCCCTGGGCAGAAACAAGAAGCTGTGGTAAGTATATATATATTACAGATTTGGCACAAGCAGGAAAAGAAAACAAATTGAATAACATTTTTAAACTGTATGCTAGATATGATACTTGAGTATGATGATTTTGTTGTAATATTCAAGGCCATGAGGCATCTGATGGTACATTTCAGTCACAGACATAATTTGCGCTAAGTTAATACTTGTCATCAGGGACGTATAATACTGTTATATACATCTCTGTTTTCAACAACAAACTTTCAGCTATATATGTTTTGGAAAATAACATGTCTTCATGCATGAACCATTTTTCTACCTGCCTTCATTGCAATTACTATAAAGAATTACTAGTATAATTAGTATTCAAATAAACATCAACCAACAAGTAAAAATAAATGAACAATTTTAGCAGTTTTTCAGACATTTTCCAAGCAAAACGTTTTTCATCTGCACTTTTATTGTCTTTTTTTATTACGGATTTCAATCAACTTGACCTCTCACTCTTTAAAGTGAAATATTTTCCACCTTTTATTACTATATTTTCCTCTAAAATTTGGTCTTTGTTTCAATGCATGTGTCCCTTTACACAAATTTAACACTCATTGTTCTCTATGGCTAATTATTCCATTCAGTGCTCTGTGTTTACCAATTATCTAACAACAATGTCCAAACGAAAGAGATTCCAAATTGATATATGGCTAAACTATCAGGATATATATATATATATAAATCTAATCTTTCCTCCATTTAAAAACAAAAAATGTTTTGTTTCAGTGTTTGAATTTGCAGGCATTAACAACAAAATTACTATTACTATTTATAGACACCGTGCCATCGTACAATGTTCAATCAATAGTGGAATGAATGTTAACCTGATTTCAATAATTAATTAATTGCGAGAATATTTAGGCAGTATTTTTTTTTTAACTTGATGAATAATACAACAGGCTGTGTCTTTTTAAATTCACAAAATTTGAATAGGATATCTTCAATATAGAGAAGGATCTGATCTTTTTCTCATTTATGCGAAAGTAGCACTGCTGGTGGTAGGTTAAACTAGCCTTATAGAATAGCTGTAAAACGTGGTGCGAAAATCATTAACTTCAAACAAGTTCTTATTTCAGGGTGGTACAATATTGTAATTTGTAAAGAAATTTACATGTAACATTTAGACATTTATACATGTGCAAGTATTTACTCTGTGATTCTCTCTTGTGCATGTAAAGATGTACAGTTTTGTGATGCCCTGTAATTAACATTTAGTGATATCCTGACTCTCTCTCTCTCTTGGCTTTGTGGTGTAACTGTTGGTCCAGTGTCATGTGAGCTTCAGTTTGAATGTGACTTATTATTATCCTTTATTTGACTTCAACTCTACAGCTCACCTGCTCAAAGGGCAAGTGAGCTTATGCCATGAGGATGTGTCAGATGTTCCCTTTCACCATCTGCTTCTCTGGAATAACCTAAGGACTATTAGCTAGGGTATAGATTTTTGTACCAGTAGCATGCTGGGATAAAGGGCTGGAATTTTGTTTAAAGAAATGACGTTTTTATAGCTTTTTTTTAGAAGGGTGAATTAGTATGGTATTTGACTGATAGTTTCATTTCAGTAATAATTACCATAACTTTAGTATGCAGATATGGTACCTACACCCATCATTGTATCCCAAAAGCAAAAGATTAAAAAATCCTGCTCTCCCTACAATCCATGAGCCATCATGGCAGGAACATAGAGTGATCTCTCTGCCTCTTTCCTTTATGGCTGCTGACGAGTGCAGACAGTTCTAAGCTGAGCGCTTTCTTTTCCTTCATGTTGTACTTCCATTTATTATCTGAGTATTATTGCTTCTCATTTAGAAGTGTTTAACCCCTCTCCCAACTTATTTTGTCATTTTAAGACTTGGTATATGTTTATTTTGGCCTATTTTCCCGCCATGTTTTTCTCCATGTGTTCGAGTGCCTGACCATGTGTTTCATTGTTTGGATTTTATGTGAAGTTAGTTATTTTTTGCTGCTTTGTTGGCTGAGCTACGCCCTCGAGCAGGGGGTGGTCCCCCCTGTCCAGGCACGTCCTGGAGTAATGGGGAAGAACATTTTGACCCTGACTCAGTGCAGCCCAGGGTTGAATTGGCTTGGAGATCCCGTTTGCTGGCGGTTTTACCATCGGGTAGGGATTTCTGGCTGCCAGTCACTGATTCATTCAGTCAGCCCGGCGCGTCAGGTGTTGTTGTTGGTAGGGACCACCTTGACTTCGGACCTGTACATTCGAGTGTGGTTCGGGGCAACAAACTTTTTGTCAGGGTTGTCTGTGCCTATAGGGATTAGTGTCATGCAGTTCACTAATCCTTGTGTCAGTGCGGGGCCTGTTTTCCTGCCCCCACAGGTTCCTGGTTCTGGTCCTTTTCGGTTTAGTCCAGAGTTCCCTGTGCAGGGGTACCCAGGGGGTTTCCCCCAAGGGGTTGGGTCCATTTTCCGGTCGCTGCGTCCCCCGGTTTCTGGGTATATGGGTGCCTGCATGCATTCATCCTTGGGCTGCCCAGGCCAGTCTGTGGATGTTTCTGGGTACCAACACTATCCCAGCAGTTATGGGCCTATCCTGTACATGTTTGGGTGTCCACCCCAGATTCAGACAGGCCATTTTGGCCAGTTCTGGAGTCACTCCCAGCCCATGGGACCATTCCCATTCCCTCAGGGGTTTGGGTTTAACCCCTATGGGTTTTCCCTGGTTGTTGGTCTTTCCCTCCAGGAGACAGTTAAGCAGTTTAGAATACCTTTAACATTCTGCTACTTCGGGGGCCTTGTTGGCCGGTCCTAAGAAGGTTTGCTGGACCTTAAAGTCTTCCACCTGCCGCGCGGACCCATTGGTCTCTTAAGTCCCAGGAGTGGGCCTCGGGTCTTAGACCCAAGCCTACAGCCACAGCTGTTAGGAGCTCTGCATCTAAACACTATATGGAAGAGCCTTCTTTTCTGGAGTTGGCTCCTCTAGTGGCCCCTGTTCCTCCCACATAGACTTTGGTCCCTAATGAGGAGGAGAAGGATTTTGAGGGTGAGGGCATGGCAGAGGAAGACAATTTATTCATCTTTCTCCTGGATGCTTGGATATCGACCCATCCGAGTTGTCTGACGACGAACTTACCGGTTAGGAGGGTTCGCAGGGGAAAAATGGCCCGAATTCTTCTGAAACTTAGGCTCAGCATGCTCTTTCCGGAATGTGGCCCTTCCGGACCGATATTTCCCAAATTGTCAGGGCCAAGGTTTGCCCAACACCTTCAGCATCGTCAATACCTGAGTCCACCACCCTTTTAGGTTCCCTTGTGGCCCTTCGGGCATCAGTTTGATCAGATTGGTCTCTGCCAGAGGGCACCATCCTGTCTTCAGCTCTGGCCAATGCCCGGGCTTGGGAGATGTAGAAGAATTCTTCCTCTACCGGTGCTCCTGGGTTTGCTGGACTGCAACTCAGTGTTGGTGATCTGTTGGAGGCTTCTGCCAAGGACTATGCCACACATGACGGGCAACTAGCCTCTTCGCCAGCCAGGCAAATTGGTGGACCAGGTGTCCGGTTCTAAGGAACACCACAAGCTGGAGAGAATGTTGCGTCAGTTCATCCAGATTCCGTCAAATATAGACGTCCTGACAGTTTGTCCATATAGCTTATCCAACTTTCCTGAAGGCTGGTTATCTGAGGCAGAACAGGCCGACATACAGGAAAGAATCACCTCTGCTCTGAACATGGCTTTAAGAGCATTGGCGGCCTTGCTTCTCCTTGCTTACCAATGTCGTGTTGGCCAGGCGGTTTTCAGTCTTGAAAAACCACCCAGTTGAGGAACCCTACCACTCCTGATTGTTGACTGCCCCCTTATTTGGCTCTACCCTGTTCAGGGCAGCGCTTCCTTCTGTACAGAAGGACATGAAGGAGGGCTCCGTTACCTCAGCACTTCTTGTAAAGAGATTCCAGACTGAGAAGGCCTGTGCCTCGCAGGGGTCAGTGCCTCCTAAGAAGAGAGCCTTTCTGGCCAGGTGAGCTATAGGGATACCAAGGGATATGCCTGGAGCGGGAAGGGCAGGGCCTATAGGCATGTATAACATAGCTGAGGCTTAAGATTCAGGGGACCGATACAAGCCCAATGGGCCACTTGTTATTTGAAAATTATACTTTTGAGAATTAAGTTGTTTTTTCCATTTGAAATAATCTAGTAAGAATTATTAGTATTAGTTTGGATGGCATGCATATTGACACTGGCTGACCCCCAAGGGCTTAAAACATATCATCTAAGTCTTACTATTATCAAAGTTGCAATTTCTTTTTCATGACACTTGAAATCTTACTTATCCTATAACCTTTGCATTCAATATTGCTTACCTCTTGTAGCTGTCAAGGCTCCAAGGACTCTTAAACAGTGGGTCTCAAGCCCACTGGGGTTAGGGCCAAATAGGTGAAATAGGTCTAAATTTGGTCTGAAGCATCCTTTGGTCAAGAGGACTTGCAGTTTTCAACAATGGTGGGTCTGTGCCTAGGGCAAGAGGGGCAGGGCTCAAAAGAAAAAATAAAGCAAATTCTTTCGATTCCTACTTCCTCTTTTGGAATTATCGGGATCTTGTCCTGATTTGGTCTGAAGCTACCTAGTGTTAAAGGCCTCAATTTTGTAGAAGTCTCCTTTGGACAACCAGAGGAGCGCAGTTAATAGGGGAAATTGAGCAAAGTAGTTAAAGTCCTGTTTCCTCTATGGGAATGCTTTGATTTTATCCTTATTAGGCATGAAGCATGCTTAGGAGAATGGAAATCAGTGTTGTATATACAGTGGATCTGAACTCTTTGGCATGGAAAAGCAAGACTCATTATAAGGGCCTTTAACATTCTTCTTCTGTAGGCATAGCATAGCCATTCTGTTCCAAATTGGTCTGAAGTCCAACTGGCAATAGATATTAAGTGTGTATTGCGCTTAATAATTTTAAAGTACTTTTTCTTTTAATTATGATGAAGTTATTTCAGACTAATCAAGATGAGTGATACATGCCCTATGGGCCTCTTGTTACAAATCTTTATCAGTAATGAGCAGTTGCTACTTTATGACATACCTTATTTGTTAAGAAGATATAGTTGGCAGTTATAATGAAAAATGTTAGAACATAGATAATCTTGTGTGAAAACCTAAGCGGGGAAGAATACCAAATGTTTTACTGATGTTTTACCGAAAAATCTTATCGAAATTCACAGACACCACTTGTTGGAAAATTTTATTCACTTTGTAAAAACACTGAATTTTTTTATTATCAGATTGATGGATTATTCTTTTCAGAATCTGATGTGAATGAATGTTTTGTATTACTGATACTGTTATTGTTTGTCTGTGATGTTTCAGGTGTTGTTCTGAAATGGTTGTGATTTTCTGTTTCTTTCGTTACAGATGGTGTGGGCTTGTAACATGTGCAAGAAGAAGCAGGACATTTTAGCAAAGACAGGACAGTGGTATCATGGGGGTATGGCAAAACCAGTCCAGCTGGATGCTCTGCCACAAGGGGAGGGGACAGCTGGACAGAACATCAGTCCCCCAAATGAAAAGCGACCCAAGATTCATGGGGAAGGGCCTGATAAAGAAAATATAGAGGATAAAAAAGGTCACAAAATTGTAAGGACGGGAAGTTTGCAAGGGAGAGAACTCAAGAGACAATTTTCTTTGGATGCTCAAAAAAATCATAGTGATAGAACAGGGTCTCAAAATCTGACTCCAGATATGGCAGAAAAAGATAAAGGATCACGCGATAGAGGTCATTTACCTTCGGAACGGGGTCGAACTCGGGACCGCTCCCCTGCAGCCAACCGCCACCACAGTGAGTCTCGTTTGTCAGAGACAGACCGACGTTATAACGCTCAAGAATGGAGAAATATTGAACAGGAGACACGTTATCGGAGAGGTGAGACGGGTCGTGAGCCTCGGACTCGGGACCAGTCAAGGGATGCAGAACATACAGAAAAAGGAAAATACTCAGAGGATAAAAGACGAGACCCTCGTGATCCACATGTTGATAGACTTATGGATGACAGAGATCGAAAAAGGGAAATATCTCGAGAAAGGTCAAGGTACGGTTTATTACAGATTTTAACATCAAATAACACATGCTGTTTTGATTAATCTAAAAAGGCAGGCCAGGAAATGCCACCAGAACCAAATGTTAACAATAACAATAACAGTTTTACCAAATCGATCAACATTAAGCCAAGGGGACCTAGATAATATTGGTTGTTTACTATGTCTCTTTTAATAGAATTTACTGTGAATAGATAATTTTTTGGCATTTTTCAATGCCTTTTATTGTCTTAGTAAGTTTCATTTTGATAAATAATTCTATATCATGAATTTTCTCAGTGAAAGTAGTTGTTATTCATTTGATCCCAATAATGGGAATGATTTAATAGATATCTGCGTGGTATCAATAGTGATGTTTAAAAATATTTCATTACCCAAGCATTGTGACTGCACACAGAATATTTACATACATATTGACACAATTCCCTGGTGAATAAGATGATTTGTTGTATTTTTAGAAACAAGTGATTGCATAACTTGTGATCATTGATTTGAAGGCAATAAAAGTTGTAATTTAAGAACTGTAAATATATATCATTCTTCTTATTCTCTTTCATATGCATCATAAAATCAACATATTAAACATGGATATGTGTGCAATGTTTCTCTATGTTAAATATGTAAAACTGGAACAATGATCCCGTCGGTATTAGTCTTATAACGTTTATATTTATGTGATCTATATCAAGTGTTTATTACATTTTTCTTTATTTCATTTTTTATGAATGATTTACGTTTAAATAACAGTATATCCTGGCTAGTGTAAATGTTAAAAATTGTACAAAAAAACTACAGAACAACAGTTTTTCTTTGTTGTATTAATATGTCAAGTATTTCAGGAATAATTGTCTATCACTTAAAAACAAAACCGTAACAATGCTTTGATTGTTTCTTTACATCTGATTCACCTTGTGCTCTATAGAAATACTATTATTGCTGAGATGAGTTCCACAGGGCCTAGGGCCATGATCTGGCACTTGTCACTATGACTACATACCGTGTCTAGGGTATGTTGTACACCTCTGGTACGGATGACTGAACACAACATATTTACTTTGTATGATGACAAAGAACATATGGTCTGGAGGATTACTATGAAAAGTCCATTCTGTTCCCAAAAGTTATTTTCGCAACTGGGATTTGGATTTCCAGACTTGTGTGTTCAGTAAATGTTACAGAAATCTGTTCTCCAACATATCCATTTGGATTGTAGGTTTCCCATTTCATTTCAGTAATAATAACCATAACTTTAGTATGCAAATATGGTACCAACACCCATCTTTGTATCCCAAAAACAAAAGATTGAAAAATCCCACCCTTCCTACGATCCATGAGCCATCATGGCAGAAACAGAGTGATCTCCCTTCCTCTTTCCTTTATTGCTGCCAACAAGTGCGAATAGTTCTAAGCTGAGTGCTTTCTTTTCCTTCATGTCGTACTTCCATTTATTATCTCAGTATTATATTTACTCATTTAGAAGTGTTTAACCCCTCTCTGAACTTATTTTGTCATTTTAAGACTTGGTATATGTTTATTTTGGCCCATTTTCTGGCTGTGTTTTTCTCCATGTGCTCGAGTACGTGAACATGTGTTTCGCTCTTTGGATTTTACATGAAGTTTGTTAATTTTTTGCTGCTTTGTCGGCTGTTTTTGTGCAACCGTTTTTCTTGCAGCTTTTGCTGCGTATGTTAGTCTTGAGCTTTCGTTCTTGGTTTTTGTTTGTTAGTTTTTCTTGAAAAAAACTTTATTGCCTGTTTTTTTTGTTTACAAATCTTCATTATGCAAGTATGGCTAGTGCTGGGTTACGTCAGGGTTCAGCACATGGGTGTTCCCATTTCTTTGCAGAACGGGACCCCCATGATAACTGTCTGTGGCTATGGGGATTAGTAGGGATGAGTCCACCTGGCAGGAGTGGTGGTTCATCGTTGTCTTTCGGACAGGATGGCCGACCCCAGATCCATTTTAGCCAGTTCTGGGGTCACTCCCAGCTCACGGGACCATTCCCATTCCCTCAGGGATTTGGGTTTAACCCTTTGTGTTTTCCCTTATGGAATCCCTGGTTTGGGACTGGTCAGAAAAACAAAATGGCTGACAGACAGCCAGCTTAGATTTTGACCTTGAAAGTTTGTTATCGCTATTTCTTTAGAACTGCTTCATAGATCTTTCTCAAAGTTTAGGCAGGGACTCAGTGTAGTATATGGTGGCAAGCCATACAGAGTAATTAGGTTACAGGGTCTTGCCTAAGGACACAACCACATTAGCACTGACCAGTCTGTTTCCCAACTTCCTTGAAACACAAACTTCCACAGACAGAAGCATCAAATTATGCACTGCAGATCTTTACCTGAGGGTTATGATGAAGTGATATCATTTTAGTTGTTCAAGTGAATAACCCATTTTCAAGGTCACAGTAATCAATTCATTAAAACATTTGAACTACTTCCTGTCAATAACCCAGGAGCTCAAGGTTAATGATATTAGGCCATTGTATTGCTCAGTAATGAATGGTAACCATGTTTGTTCAAATAAATGGCCTTCACTTTCAAAGTCTCAGGCATCACCTGGGCCATTGTTATGGTAGGATAGCATGCTTGAGAAATGACTATTCAAGTTTTTAGAAATAGACTTAACTGAAAGTCTTCTTTGGGTGAGCGTTCAACGATTGTTGACGGTAATTTGAAACACTGATTTACATGAGATTTAACTCAGTTATAAGCTCTGCAGAGAATTTACCTAACATTTCAGATTGTCTTTTGTCTTTGGTTTGTTGTCTGTGAACAATCCTTGTTAAAAAAAAAGAGTAAAATTTCAACCAATAAACATGAGAACAACTCTGGAGATTTTATTTTGTTCTTTCAGAGGATCTAGGGAGGAGGTAACTGGACGATCAACCAGAGATGGACGTGATGAACGATCAAATCGTGATCCTCGTGACTGGGATGATGGATCACGGAGACGTGATGGACCCGGTGATAAACGTAAGGAAAGACAATCAGCACAAGTGGAAAATCTCAACATCTACGACTATGCAGACAAAGAAAACAAAGGTTCACGAGAAAAGTTGGACTCTCTTGAAAATGATAAGCGCAGAGTTAGGGACCCTCATAGCAAACCTGGAGGGTCGCCACACTCACGTGATAATACACAGAACTCAAGACATTTAAATAATCGACATCCACGAGATAGGTTAGGAAGTGGAAGTAAAGATCGTCGATCACCAACAGTGGGAGACACACGGGAACGACGGAAAGAACCTGAAATGTATAATTCCCGTGTACGATCACCAAGTTTAAATCGGCATAATATACGCATAGAACGGGTAGGGGATTCCCCTACTGTAATGGATGAACAAATGGATAAATACCACGACAAAAAACAACATCTAGATCCTAGTACAGCAGCCACAGGACGGAACTCTCGAAGTAGGAAATTAGATATATCTATGTCACGAAATGACTCATTAAGTTCGGACCCGTCAGACTGTGCCAGACCACCTCCTCCTAAGCCCCACAAACATCGGAGGGGCAAGAAGCTTCAACAGCATTCTATCAGTAGCTCTGATGATGAAATTCGCTCAACACCTGAATGTTCCAGCTGTGAAGAACCTGATTTGGAAATTGAAAGCGTCATCAGTGAAAAAGGTGATGAATTTGGTGTTTTATATCTTCAGTATGTTTTGTGTTTTAATGCAAGGCCAAGGCTGTTTGTTTTGACCTTTTATAAATATGTTAAAATTTCAAACAGAATGGATTTTTATTAAGTATTTCTCTTATGCTGTATCCTGGAATTTGAGAAAGGTAAGTCTATTTAATCTTTTTTTTGTCAATACATCTATATATGTCATTTTCTGTTGGATTGCAGTTCTGTTGAATTGGATTGCAGTAAAGGTTTTTTAATGCCATAATTATAGAATTTATTGCATTGGAGAAGTATGATTTCAAAACGTCAGCATTATAGAAAGGATTCTTTACCTGTGTGGCAATGTTAAGATCATGTAAATTTCTTATGTCTGTTCCAGTAATTTCTTTTTCATTTTAAGCTCACCTGGTCCAGTGTGACAGTATGAGCATATAATATACTGCAGCATCTATTGTCTGTCAACTTTTGCTACAATTTGCTTCTAGTCAAGAAAAACTTTGACCAAATTTGGTTAGAAGCATCCTTGGGGGAAGATGAAACAAATTTTGAAAAAATGGGGGGTCTCTGTGAGATGCTGAAGATGGAAATTTTGCAAGTTCGTGAAAATTCTGGTCCTTCTGTAAGGAATAATTGGATTTTGCCCAGATTTGGTTTGAGTATTTTTAGTTAAAAAGGAATTTAATATGTATAAAAGGTGGGTCTCCACCCCTGGGACAGAAAGGGAAGGGTAAAATAGGGAAAATATAGCAAATTATACAAAACCCAACTCCTTCTGTAGGAATCATTGGATTTTTTAAAAAGAATTGAGGGGAAGCATTCTCTGGTAAAGGGTCATCAATTCTTTATAAACATTGGGTCTCTGTCCCCTAAGACAGGAGGGATGGGGCTACATAGCTGAAATTATGTAAATTCTTTAAAATACTGTAGGAATAAATGGATTTTGCCAAATTTGGACTGAAGCATTGTTGATTGAAGGGAATCAATTGTGTATGAATGGTAGGTCTCAGCCTACTTTGAGTTGGAGGAAAAATCGGAGAAATAGGGTAAACTACTTAAGATCCTTCTTCGACGATAGGAATTGCAGGTCTCGGCTAACAGGTACGAGAAGGGCGGGCCCAGCAGGGAAATTAGAGCTCTTTAAAATCTTACTCCTTCTGTAGGAATAATTTGATTTTGTCTGAATAATATTCCAAAGTATGAATGGTTTGGCTGACCTCGAGGGACTCAATGGGGAAATAGAGATGGTTTGTGTTGTGTGCTTGTTTATGTAAAATTCCCTTTCCTTTAGTTTCATGAAGCAATTTCAGGTTAGCAACGCCAGAGTGATCTAGGTCCTATGAAATATCAGAATACTTTCAAAACGTACAATCCTATAAGAGTTGAGGGAGAGATTGATCTTCAGGTGGAAAGAATAATGGCGTTTACTTACTAATTGATATTGATGATAGGTAAAACATTCAGAAACCACCTAAGTACACCTGGATATAGTATTTTATGGAGTTTTTCAAGTTGATCTGTTTAAAATAAATGAAAATTGGTTTACAGTGTAATTGCAGCCATTCTGAGGATGAAAAACACTTTATTTTATCAATCAGAAATAATTCTGTCAGCTATTAATAAAGAAATAACTGACCAGCATTAACTAAATGTAACCATTTGTATCACATTAGAATGAATCAAATAAATCGTAAGTTTTCAACACTTGACTTAATATGGTCATTGTGAAAGGCTACGATACTAAAGAATTGTGTTGTTGCTCTGAAAATCTGCCTTATCATGTCTTAGTTTGTGTTACAAACTGTACATGTCTCCAGTAAACATCTAATGCTGATACAATACGTTTATTGTAGGATGCGACTAAGCTTAAATCTGTTTTCCTACTAAGACTTATCGAAATGAATCGTTTATGCTAAAATTTAAAAAGTAGGTGGTTTGAATTGAAAACTGAATGACACAGATGGCAAATGCAGAAATTTTCTGTGGACAGACCCAGCATAGATATTGGGAAAGGAGATACAAGTACAAGATCCAATAGCCTTAAATTTCTGTCAAAATTAATAAGGTTATGTTGTTCACCAGATGATATCTTGTACATTGTAGGTCAGTATGATGTATCTTTCTTTTCTAATCTCTCTGAATATTTCCAGTGAAAGCATATAGTTGCCGCCTTCTTTTGGTCAGTCCTTTCATGTCCAGAGCATAACTTTCCCCACAGTCAAGCAAGGATCATGAAACATAGTGTATACATTGTTCATTCTAAGACAATGTGCAGTGTACCGAATTCAGGGCCCACGTTTCCTCAATTACATACAAAGACAATATGCAGTGTGCCAATGTTATTTTCTGGGAGCAATCATCAGTTTCACTGATACTTCTGTATGAAAAGGTTATTCTTCCTCCCGGTAACAAAGTTAGAGGGACTGGAATAAGCTTATCCATAGATTGGTCTATCAGAAGAAACCTTTTTTTCGGTGATAAAATCACTCAATTATGAATGAATTTCTTTTAAAAATTTCATATGAAGTGCAATATGGAGTTGTGCCCCCTGACATGATTTATCTGTTGCCATGTGTCATGTGCAATGCTTAAACTTTTTCTTTAAAAGCCTACTGTTCTTTCATACCTTAGTGGATTTCAACCAAATTTGGCCTGATGCATTTTTGTATAAGGGTTATCATTTGATAGATTCAGCATGTTTATTCCACCACTAGGTGTTGTGGGATGGGGCCTGAAAATAAGATTTAAAACCCTATTCCTTACTGCCGGGGTGGATTTCAACAAGCTTTGGCATGGTTCATCAGTAAGGGACGACAAATAAATCTTAAATTCAGAAAATTTGACTTAACCCTGAGGAACTTTAGGGCAGGGGCACTAAAAGGGGAAATTAGACAATGTTTTGCTTCAAAGTGCCTTCCTGGGTAGATTTTAACCAAATTTAGTCTGATGCATCGTTGGGTAAGAATAATCATTAGAGTGAGAGTCAGGTGAAGGTTACTACCAGTGGTAAGGATGGCTTAGAGTGAGAGTCAGGTGAAGGTTACTACCAGTGGTCAGGTTGTCTTAGAGTGAAAGTCAGGTGAAGGTTACTCCCAGTGGTCAGGATGGCTTAGAGTGAGAGTCAGGTGAAGGTTACTACCAGTGGTCAGGTTGTCTTAGAGTGAGAGTCAGGTGAAGGTTACTACCAGTGGTCAGGTTGTCTTAGAGTGAGAGTCAGGTGAAGGTTACTCCCAGTGGTAAGGATGGCTTAGAGTGAGAGTCAGGTGAAGGTTACTACCAGTGGTCAGGTTGTCTTAGAGTGAGAGTCAGGTGAAGGTTACTACCAGTGGTCAGGTTGTCTTAGAGTGAGAGTCAGGTGAAGGTTACTACCAGTGGTCAGGTTGTCTTTGAGTGAGAGTCAGGTGAAGGTTACTACCAGTGGTCAGGTTGTCTTAGAGTGAGAGTCAGGTGAAGGTTACTACCAGTGGTCAGGTTGTCTTAGAGTGAGAGTCAGGTGAAGGTTACTACCAGTGGTCAGGTTGTCTTTGAGTGAGAGTCAGGTGAAGGTTACTACCAGTGGTCAGGTTGGCTTAGAGTGAGAGTCAGGTGAAGGTTACTACCAGTGGTCAGGTTGTCTTAGAGTGAGAGTCAGGTGAAGGTTACTACCAGTGGTCAGGTTGTCTTAGAGTGAGAGTCAGGTGAAGGTTACTACCAGTGGTCAGGTTGTCTTTGAGTGAGAGTCAGGTGAAGGTTACTACCAGTGGTCAGGTTGTCTTAGAGTGAGAGTCAGGTGAAGGTTACTACCAGTGGTCAGGTTGTCTTAGAGTGAGAGTCAGGTGAAGGTTACTACCAGTGGTCAGGTTGGCTTTGAGTGAGATTCAGGTGAAGGTTACTACCAGTGGTCAGGTTGGCTTAGAGTGAGAGTCAGGTGAAGGTTACTACCAGTGGTCAGGTTGTCTTAGAGTGAGAGTCAGGTGAAGGTTACTACCAGTGGTGAGGTTGTCCCAGACTGAGAATAAGGTCAAGTGGACTACCAATAGTTAAGTAGCTGTAAACTGTCTACCTACAGCTCTTGAGTCATGAGATCAAATGCTTTATAGGCCAACTGTTACATTATCCCTTCACTGTTGAAGGCAACAGCAACTTTAATTACTCGTAAAATTTAATTTTTTTTTTATTAAAACATGTGAAATCAAGCAGGACACTCTTTCTGTACAAAAATGATGGCTGGACAATGTAGTGGAATGCCTTTCAGTGACCCATGATTATAAACTGTAGATTTTTAGATATAAATAGATGTTGATGGAGCTTGTTGATATTGACTGTAGGAGAATTTGAAATGGGAGAGGAACGCTGGAGAAAAGATGAAATACTAGCAGCAAAAATCAAAAAGTTTTTATCGGTGAGTTATCTGCCCTTTGCATGCAACAGAATGGTGCAGATGGCAGTGGTTGTAGCCACTTGTGAAAGATGCTTGGTTATCATGTAGTATACTGTTGTTACTATGTACACATATATATATATATATGATGACAAGTCTAATGGAATGACAACCATGCAATCAGTATACAGAATTTGATATTCATGGTCAAACGTTCTTTATTGAAATTTCAACCAGATGACCAGACCCCCTGTAAAAGTATAACCTATATTTTGGGGCAGTAAAAGAAACCTGTAAAAATAACCAATAAAAGAGATTATATGTACTGCATTTTTTTTAATTATAAAAAATCATCATTTCATTGGTTGTCAGTGAAATTAGAATTTTGGCATATCATTTAAAATATTAAAATGGTGATGTTTCTTGATTAGGCAGGCATTTTGTTCTATCAAGTGAATTTGAGAATTCTTCATGCTGTGTTCATGTCAGGAAACATTGCTTTGGTTTGGGTCACATTAGCTGTTAGAACAATTGTCCTTGCTGTTTTCAGTGCTTTCTTAATTTCATAAAAGAAATCCAAAAAAACAAATACTTAAATATTGTTTATGTCGATAGAAATACACTTTACTGAAAAGGATAACTTTTTTCCTTGAGAAAACAGCAGGGACCTACATGTAAAAATCCGTTGTAAGAATTTTATGGTAAGTGTCTTTTGTTTTTTGATGGGAAGTACGTTTAAGCCTTGAAAAATCAGCAAAATGCAAAAATGTGTACCGGTATATCATTTACATTCTTTAGATTAAGATGTTTTTCTTGTGATTTTTTTTCTGAAATTTTATCAAATTTGATAGATGTGCTTAACAGTTATTCTTTTCTTCAATATAACTTCTTGTTTTTCTAAAGAAAAATATGTTTTGTTTTCTTTTTATCAATGCCCATCAAACAGGATGCACATTTATCATAAAATGAGTTTTGGCTGATTTTGTTATAACTGTGCGCAGCTTTGGATTCAGTGTTGCTTTGGTTTTTCGTTTGCAGGGTCTGCTCTTGCAGGCAGCTGTAGGCAGCAAGCTTGTAGGTATCACCCCGGCTCTGCGGTTCAGCTCACAATGGCCAAAACCAAACGCTCACATTGTTCAGAGGGCAAGGGCAAGGTCAGAACAGTTGAGCAAGAATCTAGCTGGGCTGAACATCAAATTAAGGATTCGGGTATTGACACTGGTCATTCAAGTAGTAGCCAAACTTTAAATGAGGACATTTACAAATGCAAGGTACAGAAACCTTTAATAAAGAAGATAAATTATCTATACCAATTTTTGCCTGACATCCTTTTCATAAGTCTCCGAAAGAATAGTTTCTGAAGTCATTGCACACACACATTAAAGTCTATTACAAGCTTTGAAGGATTTTTGCTGCCATCCAGTATTTTTTTTTCATTATGTTCAGTACAAACAACAAGTCTTTTTCTCTTATTTTCTACTGACGAAATGATTTTCAGAAATAACTTCATTTTTATAATTGTTGAAATTAACTTATTAAACTTGGTAATTGATTAAGCTCGAAATATGGAAATAGACTGTTTAAAGCGATACATATCTTAGTCATAACATGTTCTTAGCTATTCAAAATTTCTTTGTTACTTTTTTTAGTAATTGTTGTTTCCTTGTTCATGTACTTAATTAATTCCCCCCTCAAAAAAAATGAAAATTGACTTCATTGAAATATATTTTGCTCAAGCAAATGTTTGTCATTTAAATAGAGATTTAATTAAATTCAATTAAAATAAGAATTATTTTTTGTGTATTGTCCTGTGTCTCTCTAACTGCATTACAGGGAACCAAAAGTGCTTTAAGAGATTTGAAAAAAAATAACCATCCTGTTCTGGTAAATTTGTTTCTATCAGGAATGTTTCAAATAGCTATAGAAAAATTTTGAAGTATGTCGTTTTGATTGAAACAATTTGATTTTTGTTGGACCTGAAGATAATTTTGCACACATTTTATCTTTTTTTTTTTTTGTTCTTTCAGTGAGCACATTTTGTTTACCAAAAAGGACAAAAAAATATTTTAGCAATTCTTAATTGAAAATATTTTATAATCATTACAATTATTGAAAACTGCCAATTCCATTACATGTACTAAGAAAATTTTGTCTCTAAATTCACTGCAAAAAACAGAAGAACATTGTACTGAAAAGTTCAAACTTTTTATGTGGTACAGGCAAAACTTCTAATAAGAAAATTTTGTCTCTAAATTCATTACAAAAAACACCAGTACATTGCACTGAAAAGTTCAACTTTTTATGTGATACAGGCATAACTTCTAATAATGATTTTATGTCTCTAAATTCATTACAAAAAACACATGTACTGAAAAGTTCAACTTTTTTACAGGCTCAATTTCTAATAATGATATTTTAAAAGATGTATGAAACAGTTGGATATTAATTTTCTGTTTACACTTGTACATGTTTGAACCTAAATAGGATTTTTTCTAAAATTTTCCATTTTCTGACACTTCATGTTCTACATATCACTGTATACATTCTGTTTGCTACCACTTATTCTTAATTTCATAGTGTTTGGTTTTATATGTATGTAACTACACTGGAGATTGCAGAGACTTGGCTTTTTGAATCATTCATGAGTTCATTTCATTGTAGCAAGCCGTTTGTATCTGTGTTATGTAGTGTTTGTTAAGTTCGTGGTTTATCTAAAATTCATTTCATCTCAGAAAACAAAAATTAAAAAAAAATTGTCTGTAAATCATGAAAGTTTTACCTAGTATGAATGTTTTTTTGTATAAAAAAAATAAAAACAGAAAAATATACTTAGGAATTGAGATCGATACATTATCAAAAATTGTAATTTTACATGAGAAAAGCAATAAGATCCTGATGGAATATAAATATTGACAAACATCAAACAAAACCAATATTTGGAATGTTAATGCACAATTTCATTAATTTTGAATGATTGTTAGTTTGCAATTTTTATAGTTTTTGGAGATTACAGCAAAATACATAATTTTAGGAATGTAAATATCAAAACATTGCATGAACATTACAATATAGAAATTTTCAATTTTAGAGATACATTTGAAGATATTTGAAATTTTTATTGAATATTTTAGCATATGTTAAATTTCTTCATGTTTGATAAAAATTGTGGTTTTGTATGTAGGTACTTTAATAAAAGGGAAGATAGATGGGAAAGTAAAGTGAAATGAACACGCCCTGTATAAATGGCAGGCATACAAGTTTATAATTAATCTTTCCAACTATCAATTGTAACATATATCAATAGGAATTAAAGGAATTACATGATCAGTGTCTTGAAGTATAGGCTGTACTTTGGTAAGGGTGAAGAAAGACAATAGTGGCTTGCCACAGGCTTGCTACTGTCCCGAGCGAAAATTTAACTTATATTTTAAGATATTGACCATGTATTCTATTTATCCTGCAACACTTACTGAAAATTCAAACTGTCTAAAATTCACGAGTAATTTTTGTTTACCTAACATTGATGCTACCCTGAATTGTGCCTGGTGACACACTTAAAAAATAAGTGCTCTTTGCAGAAATATAGATCTACACTTCATTGGATATATAAAGCAATTTAATGATTTTTTTGTAAATTAACCTCTTTGTTACCACAAATAAAATGACTTATTAAAACAAGTATTTATATTTCAAAATAAAAATATCTACGGGTGTATTCCTTTGAGAAGAAAAACAAATACATTATTAAACTTTTTTTTATGATGATGGTTTTTTTGGAAAGTTTGAATTTAGAAAGTAGATTAATAGCAAAAAATTGGTATGTTTCCACATCACTTTTTCTGATATAGACATCAGAGCATGTCTTACAGGGAAAAAAAATCATTTTTACACGTTAAACTTTTTTTTATCTGCATAACAGATATTCTCTGTTATTATAACACCAATTTTAAAATGGAATTTCTTCTTTCATTACAAGGCAAGGGTATGATACTTGGATAGTAAGGAAAAAGTATGTGAAAATGCTAGATTTTCATTTGACTTAAGGAACTTAAAACTACATAGCAACCTCATAAATGAAAATGTTCCAAAGAGACATAATTCCTTTACTTGGCCATTTCCTACTATTAAAACATTTTTTAAGAGTTTGTTTTGATAGAGAAATTTTGGTGGCAAGTTCTTAGAAGCTCTGGAAACCAGCTAAAACATTTCTTTACAGGTCCTAAAAATCTGGTCAAGTGGTTCACCAAGATGTAATTCATTAATTTGAAATCAGTGATTTGTAATGATAATCCTTGTAAAATTTAGTTGAAATCTATGATATACAAAGTGATACTGAATCCTTCCAATAATTTCTCAAGATCCAGTAGACTCCTTAATTTGGACAATGAAATACGATTTGTAGCCATTTGATAATTAGTTTTAGGTGAAAATTCCTTTCAAGTTCAGGAGATGTAAAACAAAGTATGGATTTTACCTTTTGAAATGTGAAGCTGGTATCAATTAGCCCTTTAAAGTTTGGACATTAAACACCAAAGTATGGGTCATAGGAATGGTAGGATCTTCATGCACAATAATGATGTCCCTTGAAGTTTGGACAGTATAAATATGGATTATATCCTTCCAAAAAAATTATTTGGTCTCCCTTAAAGGTTTGATGACGTTAGATAAAGTATTGGTAATATCACTTTAGGTACGAAAGTTATTAAAGGTCAAAGGTCTCGTTATCTTTCTCTGTGCTGCTTGCCTAACTTCAGCTGCTTCCAAGTGCATTAGACTCGGGTGTATTTGCATGGTTTGTGCATGTCCATTATATATTTCTTGATTTAGCAGATATATCACTAATTATATTCTCATAATATCACATGTTTTATTTTGAGACTAATTTGTTTTATTTTGGAACATACCATCACTTGACCTATTTTATATGTGGACATAGGATATACATATATCCACTATGTATATATATATGTTTTATATACACTCTCCATGCTTAAGATATACTTTGCCAAAAGTATACATAA